GCATTGCTTCTGAAGGTCTCCAGTGTGAGGAAGAGCCCTCCAGGATCCCTAGTGAGCTACCTTTGTGCAGCCAGGACCACCCAGAGCAGCGGTTCTCAACCTGTGGGTCGCGACTCCTTTGGTGGTCGAACGACCCTTTCACAGGGGTCGCCTAAGACCATCCTGCATATCAGATATTTACATTACGATTCATAACAGTAGCAACATTACAGTTATGAAGTAGCAACGAAAATAATTTTATGGTTGGGTCACAACATGAGGAACTAACTGTATTTAAAGGGCCAGAAGGTTGAGAACCACTGACCTAAATGTTTTACAGTCCTCTCAACCCGGCAGGTCCCAAACTGAACGTGGATCCTCCAATCCTCTTGTGTTTCCAATCAAAATCAATGACAGCACCATTCACCCAGTTGCTCAAGCATGAACCTATAAGTTGCCCTCTCCTCCCTCTCTTCCTTCACAATGCTTTCCATCTGCAGGCCTCAGAAATCTGCCTTTGAAACAGCTCTCATATTTTCACCTTTCTCTCCAACCCTCCTGCCACTGCTATACGTAGGGCGCCCCAATATCTTGCCCAACCACTGAAAAAAATTTCTAACCGGTCTAGAGATGGCTCTTTTTTCCGGGTTCTGGTTTCAGCCCCCTCCCCTCATCCCTTTGGGCCTAGAAATGGTGATAACTCTGCTGCTCCTACCCCTGGATGACCACGTGACCCTGTGTGGGCCTCTTTGTTAAGATCATCCTAATGGGAGGGTGTCATCTGTTTTTTAACCCTTATGCTCTTCCCATGGAGCTCTTCGCCGCCCACAAGCTGACCCCTGCTATGACTCCCTCTCCTGTCTGCTCACCCTCTCCTAGACCTCTGATCCTGTAGGCCAGAGGGGAAGAAGGAGGAGGAAGCTGAGAGGCCCCCCGTGGCAGGGCCAGTTTTGACTGTTAGGAAGCCCTGAGGATTTGTGGAGAGGAGGAGTGTTCTGGCACCAATTGTTGCCAACTCTTAAATATGTCGTGTGTTTTTTAAATTGAGAGAAAAAGGAAGCAGGAGAGAGAGTTAGAAACACTGATGAGAGAGAGAAGTATCTATTGGCTACTGGGGACCAAGACTGCAACCTGGACATGTGCCCTGACTGAGAATCGAACTGGCGACCTCTTGGTGCATGGAATGATGCCCAACCAACTGAGTCACACCAGTCAGGCTATAGCTAGCTCTTTAGAATGTGAAACTAGCTTCTCTTTAGCCATTGGGTGGGACCCTGCTTGTCAATGCCGGAGCAGTAGCAAAAATGTGACCATCCTTCTATAGACAATCTTCTGGTGCAAGATAAAGCTCCAAACACACAGAGGCTTTGTCACCATAGATCTTTCAAAGGTTAGTTGGTATTTTCTGTGTATTAAGTGTTACTAAAGCTTTGCCTTGAATGCTTACGGGAGGACAGTATTTGGGGAGCTAGCAGTTGATCCTACCTGGAGGCAAGACAGGTGAGGGAAACGGAGCAACTGCACCCAATCGGACCCAGTTAGTAGTGAATTTCCTGCACCTGAGAATGCCGCATTTGTACAGCGCGTTACAGTTTAACAAGGGCTTTCATCCCCCAGTGCCTGGCACATAGCTAATAATCAATACATGTTTTGTAAATGATTGAGTGACTCTGTAGAGTCATTTTCTCCTCCTCAGAATCACCTGAGAAGAGGGGTGACCATCCCCACTCTACAGAAAAGGATATAAGTGCCCAAGGTGGTGGAATAAGTCTCCTGAGACCACACAGCTGCCACCAAGAGCAGCTCCACCCAGAACCCAGGTGTGTCAGGCCCGAAGCCAGTTCATTTTGAGAGGAGTGTGGCCCCCTGTCCGAAGGGGACAGGGCTCCTGGTTCGGGTCAGAGGTCAGGTCGCGTGCCGCCATCCTCAGCAGGCACTACTACGGCAGGGTTGGAAGCTGCCAGGCGTGGGGGGTGGGTAGGCAGAAGTTCAGGCTGCTGACCAGCTGGGAATTGAGCAAAAAGAAAAAGAAAAAGACATCTCGGTGCCAAGACTCCAGGGAAATGTTTGTTGACTTTTTGCTTCATATCCACCACTTCCAACTGGGCTTTGAAGCTAACTTTTTTGATAGAAGGGCTCCCTGGGGTGGGTGGGGAGTTCACAGCCTTGTTACTTGCGGTTCTCTGGGCAACTGCAAGCCCAGAGCTGCGCCAGGATGATGCCTGAATTGCGCAGAAAGTGGAGGGAACTACAGAGAAAACAGAGAGCACTCCGGGAAAAGCAGAGACGGAACAACAAGAATTAAAGGGCAAAACAAGAACCGGTACAACGGGCATTTGTACTGTGCCTTCAGGATGCCAAGGGTCCCTCTCCCGGTGTCCCTCACCACCCAATTGTCCCTGGTCAACCGCACTAGGAGGGACCCAGCAGCCCTAGCTCTTAGCCAGATCTCTTAAAATGCACTTCTTGGTGGAGTGACCTGCGAATGTGGATGTGGATGTTCACTTGCCTGCTCAGAAGCTTTCCTGGCTTCCACCACCAGCAGGATGAAGTCTGTGCTTCCTCACAGAGCTCACAGGCGCTCCCGAATCCCAGCTGCCATTGCCAACAAGGTTCTTGAATCTGGGCGTTTGTGCAGGTGCCCCTCATTGGCTAACTCCTAGTTATCCTGAGGTTTGAGCCTCAGTGTTACTCTCTCCAGGGACCCCATTTCTACCCCATGTTAGTCCCAG